ACATATCTCAAACTTATCTTATTGGGCTTGTAGAATGGTAACAATAACCACATATCTCAAACTTTTCTTATTGGGCTTGTAGAAGGACTAAAGGCCCAATAAGATATGTATTTTATATTGAGTTTTTATATTAATAATAAAACCAATATAAAAAATGAATTATAGATTCAATCTTATATGTACTAAGATTGGGATTAAATTATGAATTTTTTTTAAATTTGTTTGTTTAAGTGCCCTTATATGTAACCTGTTTGTATTTATAATTTAAAATAATACTTACTATAACGTGTTGTTGTAATTAATAAAATACATATATAATGAAGTTGTTTCTTATATTATGTCATGAGTGGTGTTTTTTTAATTTTGATACTCATACTAAACCTTTAATATTCAATTCTATCTGTAAAACATTTTTCTTTTCTTATTTTTTTGAAGGTAACATTGATAATAAAGATAGTGATGTTAGTTTAATAGGATAAATAAGGAGCTATAATAGGCTAAAACCAACATTTAGTCCCTCACCTTATAAAATTGGTAGGTTTTAGTCCATAACCTTATAATATGACACTTTTAGCCTTTTACCTTACAAAGTTGGTAGGTTTTAACCTCTCACCTTACAAAATTAGTAGGTTTTAGCCCCTCACCTTATATTATGACACTTTGAACCCCTTATCTGTACGAATTAAAGAAAATAACCCTTATTTAACATCAAGTTTTAATAATTTGTTAGTTATGTTAGCTTACTCTCAGTTCTGTTAGCTGACTGTTAGTTCTGTTAGTTGACTGTTAACATCCATTAGCATTTTGTTAATGAAACTAACAAATAAAATTGAATTTAAATTTCATATTTTTTATAACGGAATGCTAATAGATGTTAACAGTTAACTACCAAAACTAACAGAATGTTATAACCTAATGTTAGGTGAGGGTTATTTTCTTTAATTCGTATCGGTAATGGGCTAAAAATATTATAATATAAGATAAAAAGTTAAAACCTACCAATTTTGTAAGGTGAGGGGCTAAAACTTATCAACTTTGTAAGATAAAGAGCTAAAACTGCCATATTATAAGATGGGGGGCTAAATGCTGGTTTTTGCCTCTGTAATAAGATGAAAGTATATTGAACATTGTTAAATTCAAAAAGGGTGAAGAAATAAAAAAAAAAAAAACCCAAAATTTGGAGAAAATCAAAGTATAAGAAAAATGATTGATTAACATATTTGATGAACTAGATATGAACAAATTAAGTGAAATTATTTTAGCTAAAATTAAATAAGGGTTGTAATAATCAAATCAAGAGTATTATTTTATTTTAATTGAACATATGAGACACTAATAATAAAAGAATTAACTTGAATTTAAGATAAAATGAAAAAGAGTCGGAGCCTTGAAGGAAAAAGTAAAATAAACCATAAATTAGAAACCTAAGAAAGTAGAAAAAATAGCTTCTTCTTTTTTTTTTTTGAATTGGAGTTGGAAATAATCAGCTGTGAAGGCTATGGCTCTAATAGCATATTGATAAAATTAAACTATGGAAAATAAAATAAGAAAAAAAATGAATTAAAGGTATACTGATTTATTATTGAATTATATAAAATTGTAAAATAAAATTTTTTTATATATATAATTAGCTAATTTACTGCTAGAAAAAACTTAAATTTATCATATTAACAGTAATATTAAATCTCTAATTAATATTATACTAGCAGATGTGAAATCTATGAAGGACTGTTATCCAGCCTATGATCGCATATCTGCTGTATTAACAACAATTTCAGAGGTATTTCTCCTTTACCCTTCATTTTTTTCTCTTTAGTCTTAATCTTTTTCTTTCTCCTGCCTGCAACATGGCTCTGTTCATCTATAGTCTCAAATGCAGCGATCCTTCCCAATTGACAATCCACTTTGCCTATTTTATGCTTATATTTTGAAAGCAAGCTCATTCTCATTATCATTTTGGAAATTTTTGCAGGAATTGCCTGATATCCCTCTATTTTTAAGTCTGCACAACCTCTGTGCTACACTAAAATGCACTTCCCCGTCTGCTGTTATTTTCTGCTCAGCTGTGATCAATGCAGGATATCATATTTCTGGAACTCATGTTAATCCACTGGGGCTAAAGTCAGATGCTCCCATGGATGTAATTTGGGACATAATGCGTTGTTGGGTAAGGACTAAATTCATTTATTTATCTCTCATATTTGTCAGCTGCCCCTATTGAAATATGATTGCAACATTAGTTCATAGACACTCAAGCTGATTCCCCCACACCTACCATCAGCTACCTTTTTTTCTCTCTTCTTCCAGTAAAAGATCTGCATTAACATCTTGCAAACTGGCTGTTTGTAACTAAACTCACTAAACTAGCATTAGGCTTTCTTAGTTTTAGTCAGTTCTACTTGTTAGAAAATGGCTTAATTCTCATTCTACCACGTTTAGATTTTTGTTTTGGTGGGTATCATGGGAAGAAGTGGCAGATTAGCATGTATCTAGCCATTGGATCACATGACGGTAGTTAAGAATTGTCTTATGAAATATATCATACAGTATTCCTTATTATTTGGGGGTGGGGTGGATTTGAAACCATTGCTTGAGGATGGGGGACATCACATGTACCTTAGCAATTGAGATACAACCTCATGTGCTGGTATTCTATGAATTTAGTTTATGGCCTTTGTTTCTTCTGCAGGTCAAAAATCATCCAGTAAAAGCTCAGTCAGCTGATCAGCCAGGAAGTGTGATACTCTCCAGAGAACTAGTTCTTCAAGTATGTTTTCTAAGCCACACCTAGTATTTTCACGCATGCTATCCTGCTCATCCCCTCTCTCTTTCTCTGTTTCATTTTATATAACAATCACAAGCAGAGAGTTGAGAAAGAGATGATCGGTTTAAAAGGTCTCTTACCTCTTCTTTTTGTGTAGGCAAATTTTGCTAGGGCCGTTGCGTCTCTTAGCAAGGCACAAGCAAAGAAGGTTGCACACTTCCTTCCAAATCCTGAGAGGCATTGGGGCCCCAAGCTTAGGGCAGGTCGTCAAATTACTAGCAAGCACATCTCTCTTCTTGGGGCAGATGTAGTAAATGGATGTGTTAACCATCAAGATAACAATGAACATGTTGGCAAACGTCAAAAGACCGAAGATCGATTAAATTCTCAAGTACTACCATCAGGTACTCAAGCTGGGCTTGGTGCAGATGTAGTAAATGGATGTATTAACCACCAAGATAACGATGAAAATGTTGCCAAACGTCAAGAGACTGAAGCTCCATTGTGTACTACTATCAGGTGCTCAAGCTGAGATCCATAGGAATCTGTTCACATTTCCATCAAAAGTTTCTTCTACTCTCTCACGTGTGAGATTGGAAGGTTTATGCAACCATATTGCAAGTTGAGGTTGAGTAAAACCTTTCCATGGAGGTTTTGAAGCTACTCTCAGTGTGTTATTTTTTTGGGGGAGATCTTATGTAAGATGATGAGACTTTTTTCTCATTGCAAGGGAAAAAGAAGAAAAAAAAAAAAAAACAGGTTTTTTAACCTCATTACAATGTTTTTTTTTTTTTTTTTTGGAGATCTTATGTAAGATGATGAGACTTTTTTTATTTTTATTTTTTTGCTTGAATAGTCAGATTTCGTGTAACTCAACACTAACTCATATCACAGTAATCTTAGACTCAAAGTTGTCCTAGATCTTTTATCACAATAATCTCATACTTAGAGTTAAAGGTTTTATGCTCAGAATTTAAAGGATTAAGAAAATAAACCATCCCAATACAATTCCAGTAAGGGATTTTTTCCTGGCCAAGCTTCCATTATAGCCTACATATTATTTTCTTTTGTAATCAATACTTCTAAAAAATTTTATTTTTAGTCAATATATTTTATAATTTAAAATTTATAAAAAAACTTAAAAATTAATAATCAAACTCCTTATTTACATCCTAAATTTATTAGTAATTTATTTGAGATTTTTTTTTAATATAAATTTTAACTTATAAAAAATATTGACTAAGAATGAAAATTATAAAAACTATTAACCATGAAAAAAAAAATGTACTAACCTTGTTTCCTTTTACTTTTACCTTTGACAAATAACTGCTTTCAGTTTTATGTGAATACGGGCTTGCAGTAATGAAGTCATTATAGTATAGCAGCGAGTATTATCGCTTGTCACCCGGGCGACTCGGGTTGGATCCCGGGCAACGGCGTATTCATAAATTTTTTAGCAAATTTCTGTTTCAAATGTTGTGCCTCCAAACTGGATCCTCATTTTCAAACAAAAACCGTCACCCATCCCCCGCTCCCTCATTACGATTCAGAACACAACCATCTGGATGGAACACACCTTTTGGGTAATAGATTTCAAATTCATATGGAATGCACTTACAGTAGCCCACAGATGTTTCTTTTTTCTGCTTTCACTGATATGTTCTCGCATCATACCCTGCTTTCTTTCAAAAGTAAAGGTTGAGGAATCGGGACTAGAAACTAACGGTTCGAGATTCAAGTCATGAAGCATGGTGAATGTATTCCTTTATGTTGCATAACCCGCCAACAAAAACCAGAAAACCTATTGTAAATAATTATTAGACAACCAGTTGCTAAATGAATGACTGTTTATTACTTACTGTCTTAAAACTCAATAACACAATATAGAGTCACATCCGAAATTTGCAATTGAAACATACATAAATAGATAAAGGTACAACCATGACTAGAATGCTATTTTAGTTCCATAACTGTAACAAAGCAATGGCATCTGTGGCTAATGAAAACTTTCTATTTGGCTTTGCCATTGGGCACAGCAGCTTCAGGTGGGTTGAGTTCATCCCAGGCTTCAATCCATGTGACCATGGCGTCTGCCAGCTTGTCAAAGTAGGGGTCGACTTTTGAAAGCTTTTCCTTGACCTGCTTGGCAAGCTCAATGTAGCATTTTTGAACGGTAGTGCAGTCCTTTGGAAGAACAGCTTGCTGGAAGAACGGGATGATCTCTTCCTGCCAGAAAATGCCTTTGTACTCCTTCCTTAGGTTAACAAATGGGTTGCTTGCTTTGCTGTGGAAGATATAAGGCAGACCTGTTTTGACTCCCAATCCCAAATGGTCACAGATCACCTAAAACAATTATCAAGCAGATTCTGGCTATCAGTTCTGTATTTGTGCATACCACATGGAGTTATATAGAAGGACAAATTAAACATCAAGTGAACTTGGAGATCAAATAAAAATCACCAGTGTACCTTTGTGCACCAGCCAGCCCACATGTCATCGTAGCGTCCAATTGGTTGACCATCTCCCATGAGACCAAAGTACATGGCAGGGCCAATGAGCTCACGGTCGAATGCCAAATTCATACCACACATTGGAAATAGCGTGCCCCTTGGAATTGTCAAAACTGCATCTACAAACCTGATATATGATGAGTTTAATTGTTAGTAGGTAAATACATGTTATTTGAAAGTGAGTTCCAGTTTCTTAGCTCATGAAAAGAAAAGAGAAGGAAACCAGACCTGGTGTTCCTCTCAAGAGGCTTCACAAGTTGTGTGGGTGCATCATAATCTGGGATGTTCAACCAGAGACCATGAGAAACAGCAGTTGGAACACCCTCACGGAGACTGAATGGGTATCCACGGACGAAATCTGCACCGTCTCTGAATGGATCATACAGGGTGTTGAAGAAAAAAGGAGTGGATGGGGAGAGAAGGTTCTTGATGTGCTGCTCAAGAGCATTGATGGGTTTGCCAGCAGGATCCTTGGCAACCTAAGCATCAACAAGATCCAAAGTTCAAACAGGATTAGCCCCAAATATCATCATAAGAAGGTAAATCATTTGCATATATTCATATCATTATCACCAAGCTGATGGCCTAGCAAAGCCAATTACTCAATAGAAACGAATGAAACATGGCAAGAACGTTAACACAAGTCCTTTTGGTATGACTCAACAGCCTGAATCTGGATTTCAACATTTTGGACACTAGGATGTCTCAGACCTTAATCATCCCATAGCTGGCTACCAATAAAACAACATTCTGAAATTTCAAAGCTGTAGATCGCATTGCCAGAGAATAAAATGGAATGTTTCGAGCTGTTAAAACTTAATAGTGCTATTTCAAAGGAACAGTAAATAAATTTTATAATCAGATGTAAGTTGGAGAACAGAAACAAATAAAGAATGACTCCCAATTCCACCAAGGCAAGGATCACTTTTTAGACAATAATCAAATATAAACAAACCAATTCAAGCAAAATGACTCTTAACACAAAACTCAAACTAGAACTTCCAGATCTAGCATCAAAAGGGTACAGAACATGAACAAAAACTTGAAATCTAGCATCATAAGACCACAAAGACAAGAAAACAATGAGACAATACGAATGACTGTATAAAAATTAGGCTTGATTCTAAACACAAGTGGACGTGGCTACAAAGAACTGAAAATTTTGAAATGGAATGCCCTACCATGAGGCTCAAGAATTCAGTTTGATGATAAAACATGCAGTATAATGACCAAAACGGCAGGTAAAATCCTATTAGGAGAATGAATCAAACACAATCAAAACTGAAATTTCCTAAGATTGAGATCAATCACAAGCAAAGATCCAAAATTCAGCCAAAAAGACAACCGAGAAGCTAAAATCTCGTAAATGAACAACTTACAAAGCAGTCATCGTCAATGGTGAAAACGTACTTCTTCTTAGACACCATGTAGCCAAAGCAGCGGCAAGCGGAGTCCTTGAAGGAAATACAGGAAGCCTTAGGACCCAAAATCTTATTGATGTCGTTCCTGTTGTAGAGTTCGTAGTCAAATCCCTCAGGGACCTTGATGATCTTTGAAGGGTCACCGTCTTGGACGATGATGAGATGGTATGGCTGAAAGAACGGCCTCCACATCTCGAGAAAGTCCAGGTTCCTAATGGTGGGTATAACTATGTCCAACTCATCTTTGAGTGCCGGAACCGGTGGTGCAGCCGCAGCAGTGGCTGTAGCTGGTTCCATTGCTAGAAAACAGAGACAAAAGGTGAGATCTTTGTATGGCTTCTGCCTCTGGCCCTCTGCAGGGTGAGAAAAGGGAGGAGTTGGGGTTGGAGAAGAAAGCGCGTAAGGGGAGTATATATAAGGAAAGGTAGGGTGTGGTGGCACGTGCGACGAGGAATGGGCGGCACGACTCAAGGGAAGGGGTAAGAGATGACGTGCCCTGTGCTCGTCGGAAAGGGGACCCGTTCAAAGGGCATACGGCCGAGCTTATAGGACCAAAGACTTTATGTGGGGCTTTGGGTTGGTGTAAAATGAGAAGAAATGAGTCTTTTTCTCTTCAAAGTAACTAAAAATTGAAAGTCCTTCAAAATAATTCAAAACTTTTTGTGTTATATTTCTATAGGGGGTTTGAAGTTTTGTAGGATATTTTGTGTTGATTATATATTTTACAATCATTAATACATGGAGGACCATTCTAATGTTAAGAAGTTACTTTTTATTAATAATTAGAAAATGTAAAGTTTGCACATTAATTTTCTTTATAATTAAATTTATTTTAAAAAATGTTTTATAATCTAAATTAAATTAAATTGCAAATCCTCAAATATATTGCACTTCTTGTGAAGAATCAATATGAATAAATGTTTGTTATGGGTTCTATGACTTTTCTTATACTTGAATTTATAAAGATTAATGAAAACTACAGCGGTTTGTTATGACTTAGTGCAACCCTTATTTAATTGGTGGTCGGCTACATTAATGGTTGATTGAAAACTAGTTTTGTCTACATTGTTATAATAATATATTATTAAATAAATATAAAATATTATTAAATGGATACATATATATAATATCATATGTAAATTTTTAAGTAAAAAAAATATATTATATAACTCATTATATTATAAAATTATAATGTTATATGATATTATAATTATATTATTTTATTTGACAATTCATGATTATTATATAAAAAAGTAATGTCTGTAAGTTAGAGAGAGTATGTAACAAAGAAGAAATAAAATTTTACCTAATTAATTAATTTCAATCTCATGTAATGGGTATGTGTAAATTGTAAAATCTATGACAAACAAAACATCATCTCAAGCTCGAGGTGGGTATTTTGCGACGTTGAAATCTCATGAAATAGGTGCAATCCCTAAAAGCTTTTGTATTAGTTGTGTTTCCTTAATTTTCCTCCCATGTAACGTATACTTGGTGAAGTAAAATATTCCTCTTGATTTTTGAGGAAAAAAATGGAGTACTAAGCTTACCAATGATCAATTTACGGTAGATACTTTAGTAATGGATGAAATACCTTACATTATTAAATAATATGTCTTAATATACCTCCTAATTAAGAAATTAAGGAGGCTCGATTGCAATTCTCTTCCAAAAAAAAAAAAAAAAGAGTATCAAAAAATTATACACATTTACATATTAACTTGTAATTTTCATTAATAATATATTACAGAGTTGATTCACATGTAATCCTCTTTTATTGTGAAATTTTATAATAATTACATAACATTAAATGAGTTAATATCAATGGATTTATACATCCCAATAAGGGAAGAAAACCAATGATAACAATTGTTACAAGGATTGTAAAATTTCATTGGAAGGAAAAAATTATATGAACCATTTTTTTTTTATGATTAATTAAAATGTGTTTTTAAATCAATTTATGTATATCTTAAAATTAATTCTTCTCAAATAATTTTTAAAGTACAACTCCCACATTGCTCTAATACAATCAAATAAATTAAATTTACATATATTTCTAAGTGTCATTTTCATATAGAGACACACTTTTCAACAAATGAAGGGTATATATAAAGACGACTCTTGAGACCAAGGAGTAAAAGACGGAGTTAGAGAGCCAAACATGTAACGTGTAATTGTGTTCTCAAAATACCCATCTTTTTCAAAAGCAGCATATCATTATTGTTGTTACTATTTCGTCTTAATTCTCGCAGCTAATTGTGCTTCTACAAACTATTATAGCATTGATTTAATGAGAAATGATTTTGAAATAATTTTTTTATTATTTTTTTATATAATTTGATATATCATTTAAATTATTTTTTATTTTAATTTATATGTGATTCATGATATTAAATATATTTATTAATTTAATAATATGTGAAAATTATATAAAAAAATTATTTCTATAACACCACTCTTAATTTTATAAATTTCATAGTATTAAGTTGATAAGTTTTTTGGTCAAGATGCAACCCAACATTTCATTTCTAAGTTAAAATCTGACCTTCCTCTTCATTACTTTCTAAGTTCCTTCCAGAAGAGAAATCAAGACACGTGCTTTGCTTTCTTTTCTCTTCTCAATGACTTTTCAACTACAACTTCTTGAATGAAACTATCTTTTCTCCGAAGATATGATTCTAATTATAATTAAATTAACAAAAATTTTCACTTTAAAAAAAGTTTGAAAGTTACTAATATTTAGTTTTAGAACTTCTGTATGTCGCTCAGTGGATGGGTCACGCTACTCCACAAGTAGTAAGTGGAGTTCGCCTAATCTTTAGTTCGACTTTGATCCTGAACAGATATTAACTTATTAACTCTATATTTCCCTTGTCAAAGAAACTAATATTTAGTTTTATATTCTATTATCGTTAGTGGTATCTTAAGTCAATTTCTATGTTAGAAGCAAATGTTCGTGTTAAAAGTGACAACTTGCCATAGCACAAGGATTGCTCCATTTTCTTGGTGGGTTACTTGATTTTTCATCTAGAGGGTTATTGTTCAAACTCGCATGAAAATCTTGCATTTTCTAAAACATACTAAATCAAATTACTATTTCAAAAAAGTATTATATAGTTCCATCTATATCTTATTACACAATTTTGCTCTTAATTATTAGTAAGGAATTAATATAGGGTCATCTTTTTCTAATTAATAGTCACCTTCTTACAGTTTTTAATACAAGTCAGACTGAGCTAATCATGATTGAATCAAATTAGGCCCCATCTTCTCTAAACCTCTCAAAAGAAGAACAAATACAGCGCAAACAGATGCAACTGGGCTGTGCAAAATGTGAGTGGTTTGTACAAAGTGGTGTTTCAAATGGTGTCTGGAGATCGGAGATGGTGGGCTTGTGCATGACAACGTGGACAGAGGGTTTGGTCTGGCCTTTTAAATAGAAATTGGATTCTCTCAACAATCTACTTCATTATTTGCGTAAGAACTGGGCTTTCTGGACTGATTTTCTTAGCCGAAAGGCCCTTTAGGCCTTTTCTCCATTGTAAACTTGAAATTCAAAAAAACAAAAAAAAATCCGGAGGAAAGGAAAATGGGAAAATAGAAATATTTTCAAGAAAGCAAATCTTGGCTTTTTCATCTCCAAGTGAGGAAGGAGACCAAGGACCGTAGCAGCGTCGGTGCGCCGGTGGTGGGTGGGGGGAAATTAAGGCGGATGTCGTCTAAGTGTCGCCCCCACTTATATATTTTAACTAACAGCAGACAGGTTTGAGGCCCAAAAACAGCCGAAGAAATTTAGCGGGCCATTAATTTAGGCCCTTTTTATTTTCGAGCGTTCATGAAAAAAATTAAAATTAGCGAGAGTTTTGAGATGTCAAGAATTCATGGAGAAATCTATCTTAAGGGTTGTATTAACTAACAATCAAGTTTGTTTTGTAAATCAATTATATTTAAAGGTACCATATGCTTAAAATCGTCTAAGACACATGTACTTGACCATGCAAAAGATGGGTCAATATAACGTTTAGTAAACATTAGTTTCGGTAAACCCTTGTGAAAATTTATGTCAGCAAAAATACAAAACAAATGTCTAACTAATAGGTGTACTGTTTAATTTTATATTCTTGGACAGTACATGTTTCTTCTATTATTTGTATATGGGATTAAAGAACTCAGATAAGGTTCTATGTTGGAAAGCATTCTTTCATTTGGGAAAATGCTCTTTGTTCCCCCAGAATAACAGTCAATACCAATAACCTGAAATTGGAAAGACTTCAATGTCATTCTCATTATTCTTTTTTTTTTTTTTTTTTTCAATGTCATTCTCATTATTCTTTTTTTTTTTTTTTTTTAATATGTTAGCAACATTATTGTACATCCTTATCCCTTTGCCCTATGCTATATCTCTCCTTGTACAGTACCACTGGTGTGGTCAGGAAGATGAGACTCTGATGTGCAGTCCATTTGGTGCCTCCACCCTTGGAAATCTCATCAATTTATCTTCCCCAACTTCTTTCCAGCTGCAGTAAAAATACAACTTCCAATTTAAGTCAAAATTTCTTTCTTCTGCAACATTTTCCTTTGGTAGACTGGTTGAAGTTTTTTTGTTAATTATAATCCCCCCAGTTTCGGCTAGAAAATACACTGGTTCGAAGATTTTGAAAAGTTACATCATCACCATCTAAAAGTTACCAAGGGGAGTTGGGAGTGATGGTGTATGTTTTCATTATCTTTAGATTAATTTGTATTTTCACCAAAACTCAAGGGGTGTTTTTGCAATTTATTCAGAGATGTAGATTTTTACCTGTATCTAGTCACAAAGTAGTGAAGGAAAGTAGAAATCTCTGCTATTCCTAGTTCCTTCCCTGGACACATTCTGGTGCCTCCTCCAAATATAAAGAAGTTACCCTGAGACTCCAAGCTCCTATCCTGCATTTAGAGAACAATGATTTAGTGAAAAACTAGATGGAAGATTGGAAAAAGAAAAACAGTTTATGGGTAACGGACCAGCCATCTCCATGGATTAAAAGCTAAAGGATCAGGATACAGAAATGGATCATAATTAATCTCCCTCGTATACACGTATATCCTCCAGCCTTTAGGAATCACAAATCCTGAAAAAAAAAAAACCAACAATGTTTAGGTAAATTTTTTTAGAAATGTTGCTTTCAGTCCATACTCACTAAAGAAACATTACGAGTCTGGTTGAAAGTAATTGATTCATTAATGACATTTTAGTCTTATTTTCGACCTGTATTGACATATTTTTTAGTCAATCCAGACTCAAAAACTACCATCTCAAAATTTATTACCAAATGACAAAAAGAAAGTGTAGTTGTTTAAAAGGAATTTCTATCTTGTCATATAAAATGGTTTAGAAATAATTCAGCCTTGCAGGATTGGTAGATGTGCTGGGTTAATCATGATAAGGTAAGGTTCACACCAGAGGGGAAATGAATGATCTCATAATTTGTTGTTCAAAAAAGTCCTGAAGAGAAAAAGAAGTATTAACACTATGGATCCCACCATGGAATATCTCAGCAGTGCTCAAAAACTCACCATTCAGTTCCATTTCCTCTGTAGTTTTCCTCAGAACTCCATTCACAATTGTAGCCAATCTTGAGGTCTCAAAAATTACCGCACGAGTGAATCTCATTGATTTAAGATCATTCCATTCAATAGGATCTTCAGCCCTTTTTCTCCCTCTAATTTCCATATGCTCTTTCTGAAAATTCAAGAAAACAAGAAAGAAAAAGGAAGCCATTGCCTGTTATATAACTAATCGTAGCATAAAATGTACTCAAAAAGAGCAAAAGGGATTTCTGTTGCAGCCAGAACATAAGAATACAGTCGGAGTAAGAATCATGACCTTCTTGCAGTTACTTAGTTACAAAAACCAGAAAAATGTGTTGAGCTTACTCTTAGTTCTTCAAGAACTCTTGGATGATCATGGAGGTACTTGACTGCCATCATGGAAGTAGTCGAAACAGTCTCGTAACCAGAATACATAATTGTGATGATCTGATCAATTATCTCATCATCAGTTAGCTTGTATCTATTATCATCTTTTCTCATTAGTCCTTCAAGCATGTCCTGGTGGGATTCTTCAGAAGCTCTCCTCTGCTCTAACAGTTCTCTTAGTATCCCTACAAGATTTTTCCTTGCCTGAAGATTAATCACAGCGGAAAATTACTCAGTTAGCACATTTTATATGTACAAAAACTTCAATTAAAAACAAACATGTGAATGATAAATGCTTGTGAAGATTACCCGCAATCCTCGCCGGTAATTTGTGCCGGGAAGGTTAATAGGAAGAGACAGGGTTCCTATAACCAGTTTAAAGAACTCAGGAATGAGTTGCTGAGCTATAGAGCTTGATTCAATCCCGGCAATTTGCTTGAGTGAGGAAAGAAGTGCCATCTGCACAAGATAAAGACAGGGGAATTAAACATGAACATAGACTTTATAATCTTTGTTATTTTTAAGATTTTGAAGGTGAGAAAAAAAAAAATACCTCTTTGGTCTTTTGATGAATGTCAATGACTTTGTTATCCCAACTGCTGAGGTGGGTTCTCATAAAGTCATCTATTTTGGGCAAGAGTCGGTCCTTGATCATGGTAGGGCAAACGAGGGCCAGCAGAGCTGCTCTCATGTGCTTGTGGGTGGAGCCATGGACTGCTGCAATGTTACATTTGCCTAAGATATCAAGCATGGATTGAGGGTAGCCAGGAACCAGCCCTTTTGCTTCATTCATCAGAATGTATCTGTTCAGCTCTGGATCCATGGAAACAATTGTAGGACAACCCAGAATATGGGATTTGAAAAAACTTCCATGCCTGTTGTAAAAACAGAGTAGGAGAAGAAAATTTTATAAATTACTCCACCAAAAGAAAAGTAACAGAATGGATTAAGTACTAATTGCATGCTTAGGAAACGTCTTTCACTATCATTTATTAATCCATGAAATGATAATTAACTATAGAAGGCAACTGTTAGCTCTCATTAATGGAATTTCTTTTTGATTAAAAAACAAGAAAAAAAAACTTTGTTAATTCACAAACGGGGATTTGACAGGCTAGCATATGATCCCAAAAAGTTCTCCTTTTTTTGAGAAATCTGCAGATACAAAGCAAAAGAACAGAACAGCCTAAAAGCTTTGGAGCAGAGTGTAAAGAAATAAATAAAGAAAGAAAGAAAAAAAAAAAAAAAAGAGGGGAAAAATGGATGGAAACAGAAGAATCATCACCTTGCTCTATGGTTCTTCATGAAGTTTGGACCTTGCCTGAGAAACTCAGTGGTTTCACCAAAGACAGGCCAACCCATTGTGCCAGGGGGAAGACCTTTCTTCCTGTATCTGACTTCATTCCACCTGAGCAGGGCAGTGCAGGAACAGAGCATCACGAAAAACAGGCCAAGAACCATCATGAAAACAGCCATCGATGACCTCTAGAGGCTATTTGCAACCCCACTCCACAAAAAGAGTTGTAAATGTATGGGGCTTCTCTAAGTATGAAATTAGCCGGAGTGGTGTATATATAGAGCCCTCTCAACCCCCCGTCCTCCTGTGAAGATGAGAGAAACTGCTGAGAAAGTAACACTG